GCCTGCTTTGGGTTTCCCAGTGCATTCTGTCCGCTCTGTCTGTCCTGTTTAGGTTGTAAACTCTTTGGGGTGGTGATTATCTTGATTTGTGTCTTGCACAGCCCCAAGCACACCACCGGTAACAAAATACATGCACAACTTTGGGTGTGCAGTCAGTTGTGCAAGTAATCAGGGCATGAACCTGTAAGGTGCTAATAACAATTGGAGGTAAGACATGCCTTCAATTCTGACTCCCAAGAGTTGCTCGGCATCTTGCAGGATCAGGCCCTGATTACACACTATCACTTGTGTGTGCAAATGCCCTACTATAGAAGTATAACCGCCCATTTGTGTGTTCAGATTAAGTGCTTAATGGAATTTTGTGCATATAACTTCTGTGATTACATTTGCCCATACAGAGTCCAGGTGAGGCCTGTCTGGAAACGTGGCCTCCAATGTTCACTTTGGCAACCATTGGGCTTATTTCCAGGCTATGTGGTTTTTCCCTTTTATGCACTATTCAAACACAAATGGCATTTAGACAATTTTCACGTTTCAGTACAAATCAGCTAAAGAATCTTTTCTCATTGTTGCTTGGGCAAGCTCACATGCTGCCTAGCAGTAGAGAATAATTAGGAGTTATACAGACCATTTTACCCCTGGATCCCATCACTGCCACCTTTTTATACCAGACACAAAGAATAAGGTCTACATTGTAAAGAGACCAATGATTTTTGTGTGCTTCAATTTTTGAATGGCAATCTGAGGCCTGGTCCACACTACCCCCCCACTTCGGACTAAGGTACGCAAATTCAGCTACGTTAATAACGTAGCTGAATTCGAAGTACCTTAGTCCGAACTTACCGCGGGTCCAGACGCTGCAGGCAGGCTCCCCCGTCGATGCCGCGTACTCCTCTCGCTGAGCTGGAGTACCGGTGTTGACGGCAAGCACTTCCGGGATCGATCCCAGAACACCGATTGCCTGCCGTCGGACCCGGAGGTAAGTGTAGACGTACCCTGAGACATTAAAGGGTCCTGATTTTCACCGAGTTCTGAGTACCATCTCTCTGAAAATCAGGCCCCTTTAAGATGCCTCATATTGAGCACCAAAATCATTAGTCACTTATGAAAATTAGATCTAAATGACTTGCAGAAGGTCACACACAAGAAATCTCTGGCAGAGCTTGGTAGAGAACCCATATCTTCTGGCTCCAGTCCTTTGCCTTAAACACAAAATAATTCTTCAGGACTATCCTAGAGGAAGAGGAAAAATACCCTATATGAATTGACATGGTAGACCATAAACCATCACTCTGATATTTTGTGGGAATCAGGATTAGTATTGTTCTTTTCTTTTTAAGATTAGGCATTTTCTTAATGCCAAGTTACCTATTTAAACATGCATATTTATCATGTTTACCCATTTTTAACAGCCACCGTGGAGCGATTTCAGTTGGTAGAGTAGAGACACATACTTGCTTTTCTGAAGTAATGCAGTGTGCTATTTTTACATAATCTCAGGCAAATTCAGATATGGTATAAGCAGTGTAAGTTTATGAAAGTCAATGGAATTGCAACTACTTAAATTAGATTTGAATTTTAGCTTCATATCTTGCCAGGAATTGTCATAATTTGTACAGAAAACAATAGTGACTGAAGTGAAAGCTTGCATATATCACACTTATATTTCCTTTATCCTCCTGCTCGAGAAACACAGGCCCACTTGAACTAAAGGATAATCTCCAGTCAGCAGCATGTGGCCTGTGACGCACATTTTAAGCAGTCCTGGTTCCATCCAGTAGCGAGCAGTAGTGCACATTCACACTAGCCAGTTCACTAGACTGTTTTAACCTTTCTTGAGGATTGCTTTTCAAAATGCCAAAAGCAAGCAGAACACATGGACAAATCATCATTTGCCATATTTATTTTTTAAAACTAAGCTCTGAGTTATACAAGTGCAAAAGTGATTCATTAGCCAATAACCTTTTTTAATACTCCTATAAAATATGACTAAATAGAATATTTTTAAAAGGTGTGTACAGTATAATGGAAATGCTGACACATAACTAACTCTCACAGTGCTAGGACATACCACTGTAAAGTCTTGCAAGACTATTTAGCTGATTATCATTCTATACAAAAGACGTTCCCTTTGTCTCAAGAAAGGCCCTTTTCACTGTCACTGCATGAAAAGAGAACTAGCCAATTTGGGAGCAAATACATGTGAAAGAGCGGGGTTGTAGTTTACCCACAGGACACATTTTTAACCCTATTCAAGGTGGTTGGTTTTTTTTTTTAAAAAGAACGGATCCATTTAGCTCAGATATTATAGCAAAGTTTTTTGGAGGGAGGCAATCCAGCTATGGGATCAGCTAGTATGCTGTTCTAGCGATGACAGTGGGTCCCCACAAGGGCATGGGGGTCCTGTTGCAACACTGAGACTTTTGACATTGACTACTATTTATTTTTGAAATGTTGGAGCACCCTGCTTTGAGTTTAAGGAAGTTAAATGCACAAATACGTTTACAAAAGAAGTCACCGTATGCAGAGTATGAAAGAGTCTAAGTTCAGAGAAGAAGGGGGAGGACAAGCGGGGTAGAGGGTGCACCAGTAGTAGCAATTGTAAACTTCATTTTCTCTACTCCATTTCTAACCAGAGGAGTGAGCAACGTACATCCACTAGATGGTGCCATTTCACCTCTAGAAAACCATTTCAGTAGTATCTCAGAACCCATTTGAAAAACAAGTTTAAAGAATCAGGGCCAAATTCTGCTGTCTCTTACACTGGTGTGAATCAGGAGTAACTCCAGTGAAGCCACTGGAGTTAGTCCTGATTTATAGTGCTCTTATAAAGTGCTCTGCTTTTGGTGTTGCAAATCCTCATACAGCGAGTGAAAGTCATAGTAGCTGAGTTTGCAGACTTTACATAGACAAAACTCCCATTGAAGTCAATAGGGCCACAGGATCTGGACTACTGAATTTATGTAGAAAATTTACTTTTCAAAGTGGTCAGCCCTTTTTGAGGAAGCCTGTTTTCCATTACTAGGCAGGCTTAGGCTGCTTGTGAGATACAAAGCTGGCTTGCCAGGTTCTCAAATGTTATTTTCATACTAGAGAGGTTAATCTATAATATCAGAAGTATTGTTCTTTTACATAGTGATTTATAAACCCTGATTGCAGCCATACCAGAATTCCCTTGGGTTGTCTCAATCTTTCAGCTGTGTTTTTCTTTCTGTGGTTTGGACAGTGAAGCTATTTCCCACACCCTCCTGCACAGTACCTATAGCTCCACTCTTTTAGGACCTAACGTAGTCAATTAACTATGCCTGTCTTTAAGCATCCCTTGTGTGCATGCCCCATAATGCACTTTGAGACAATAAGACGAAGTGAACATTAAACTAAAACGGATGCTTCAGTCACAATAGGATTTTTAATCTGAGTTGGGCCCAAGTTGCATAGTTTGGACCCGGATCCAAACCCCCAAAAGTCTGATTTTGCTTTGATGTGGGGACTAGGTTTGGGTTCCTTATTCATTGTTTGATTTTTGTACATAAAAGACCAGATCCTCAGCTGGTGTAAACTGAGGTAAATGGAGCTACACAGATTTACAGCAGCTGAGGATCTGGCCCCCAAATCTCTGCCATCTGAGAGTGACGGTTTTATTCAGGAAATGTTACATTTAAACCTCACATAAAAATACTATTCATAATTAACTGTCTAAAGCCACAGGATCTTGACATCAAAATAGCTTTTTATCTATGTAGTGACACATGAAATAGGAGGGGATTCGTTCTCCTTAAATCCTATAGCTTGCCTGATGTACCATTTTCAGCAGGAATGGTCACATTATAGTCCCAGGGTGGAAGGCGATTTAAAATAAGAAGAAGATTATTCTTTAAATCAATTCTGAAAGCATTGCCAAAAAGTAATAACGTGAAATAGCTGAAAAGCTTTTTTTTTTTTTAAAGGTCCTCTGTCTAGATCCCAGAAAGCTAATAAAGTCAAGTCTCATTTAGGTTAGGGCTCTGCTGCATTGAACATGCTTGTTGAACCTAAATGTGAACATCTGCTAAGTGGTGTCCACACTGCACTGAGAATCATCACCATAAGGGTTATGCATAAGCAAGGCTCTAGTTCTCTGTGGTGATGGTCAGAAAAGGAACTCTGTAAAAATGGCTCATTCTTACACCCACAGCTCTGTTCTCCCAATGGGCATTGAGAATTCTCTGCTGATTTTAGTTACAAAATTACATGTTTTTCTTTCTGTCAGTATTGCTGAGTCAATACAGCAATGGGAGAATGAGCTAGAGTCCATTGAAGCGTGCGTATCCTTATTGTTAATTAAGATTCTGCCACTGTAATTTTCAGAAACTTCCTAACAAGGTTTTATTACAGAACCTAGCTTGACTTTCAGATCCCAGGTTGACCTTGCAGGGTTGAGAAGTAGAAAAACTTTCTTTTTACTTGTAAATGGAGCAAATTTGATCGGAAAGGCACTGAGCATTTAAACATGGAACCCCTCAGTGCCATCTCTACAGAGTCTTTTTCAAGGGGGTGGGATAGAACTGCAGCTCATTTGCTTATGCCCCAATCCTGCAAAGCCATATGCATATGCTTCACTTTCATAACATTCATTTAATGGAATTACTCACGTGTGTCAAGTTAAGCTCATGTGCCTTTGTAAGAGCGAGGCTTAGATCTCTAGAAAGCACTTTCTCGAAACGGTGAGCGTGCATGAGAATAATTAACAGAGATGATTTGCCCAGGTAGAAAATCCAAATATCTAAGTACTCTCTGCTACCAGCCACAATGAAAGCACAAAGATGTCAGTAATCCTGTGCATTTTATGAGTGACAGGGACATGTAGGAGTGAGTGAGACAGGAGAGTAAATTCCATGCAGTCTAAGTTCAAGTTTAAGTGTGGTCCTGTTTTATTTGGCCGGGGGGGGGGGGGGGGGGGGAGTAAGACATACAGAAAAAAGGGAGAGGAAAACAAAACGAGCAAGGGGGGAGGGGGGTGCTGATTATTAGGGATAGGCAAATATTTGCAAATAGCTGGAGTATCAGGGCTATCCAGCATACCACTGGAAACCTCTGCCCATCACTGCCTTTTGCTGCTACCATGAGACAGCAATGAATCCCAGTGTAATGGGAAGTTAGCTTCTCCACCCTAACCTCAGGGGTGCAGGAAAAGAGAAGTAACATCCTTGCCCTCCTGCTGGGAGGGAATGTGAGGATTTCCCCCACTGCTAGCAGCCTGGCTCCCTCTCACTGGAGGGCGAAGGAATGAAGGACACCTCCCCCTTCACAAAATCCTGCCTCCCACTTCAGCCCAATGCACTCCAGGGTGTGTTAGCCTCAGATTTAAAGGGCCAGTGTATTCAGCAGCAGTCAGGGGACAGGAGTGTTTCACTCCTCTGGCTGTAACTGAAACATGCAGAGAACTTCTTGTCCCCTGCAGAAGTTCCCAGGGGGAGTGAAAGGACACTGGGTTGCCCCCCACAAGATAAATGCTCAGTAAGTGGAGGTGAAGGGGTTAAAGGCCACCGAGCTGCTACCTCACACGATGACACCAGGTAAGAATGAGGGACAAGCGGGAGACCCAGGTCTGCTGGGGAGGAGTGGGAGAGTGGGATCCTGCGGGAAGTGGAGCAGCAAATGATGTTTTGCTAGTCTGAATGTTAATCCCAACATCAGCCTATTTGCTCATCACTAGTTTACTAAGTGATGCTTCTGGTTTTGCTATCATTACAAGGTGCAAAGCTATGAAAAACCCTCAGACTGAGCCCCCTCCCCTCTTCCCAGCCTATTCTAGCCCCTTTCACAAGATCTATTACACTTGATGGCAGGTGATATGGTTACACGTACAAAGAACTTTTTCCTAGCCCTTGTGTTAGACAGGCTTGAGTACAGAGAAGGGATTTCAATGAGCTAGATGTCCCATTACCCAAGAGGCAATGACTGCCCTTCAACAAAACATAGCAAACAGAAAAACAAAGAGCCATGCTGGAGGAGAGAAGTGCTGCTTCTGCTGGAGAGGCTCAGTTAGACACAGGAGGAGGCAGGCCAGGGCGCCGGGTTTGAATAATTTTTGGCTTTGGAGAATTCTTTGGGTCCTCTTCTTCCTCTGTGTCGCTGTCGCAGACATGCACCACCACGCTCGGGGTGGACTCTGTCCCTGCATGCAGCTCGTACTTCTCCCCTGGAAGCAGACATAAGTGGTTAGGTCAAAGGTCACCAGTATGGGAGAGCCAAACATTGACTCTGGCCTTGTCTGTCTCCAGGAATAGCCCTGATTCAGCAATCCGTGTAGCTACACCATGGCTGAGCTTTAGGCATAGACAAAAACACCCAGGAGTTTGCTTGGACTGAGCTAATGGAGGTTTATTCCTGCATGCCCCTTTCTACACATAGGGGTCAGCACCCCTGCAACTACACCGAAAGCTGGCGACGGATTACTACGCAAGGCTATTCCCAAGTGTAGACGAGGCCTAAGGGTGGAATCCAGGATAATCTGGACTAGTTAAAAACAAACTGCACTAGTGTCTATGCTAGGATTTCCCACTAGTGCAGCCACACTCGTGGCTGAAGTCACAGAGTAGACAAGGCTTAAATGTATGTGTAAGGGGAGAGAGAAGGTAGCCGAGTGTCCTGGAGATGGGCCCAGCTCAAAACCACACCTCCTAAACCGTCTATCAACAAGGAGTTCCGTGCTGGACTCAAACTTCATGGCTGCCCCTTGTATCTAAATTGGGCCAAACCTCAGCACCCCAGGCCCAAACTTCCTTCGACTCTGGGATCATTCAGATCCAGTTACTCATACTGCAGCTTGGACCCATCTCTAATTTCTCTAGCTACTGTATCGGTAGGCTGTGAGGGAGAGGATTTGTTTATCACTGATAACAGTTCCAGCTATAAACATCTCTAAATACCCTTCACCATTGAATGTAGGCACAGCATCTACTTAGCACTTACGACAGTCGTCATTTTGGCCGACACATAGGGGATTGAACCAGAGATCTCTAGAGCTAAAAGCATGAGCAGCTATAGCCTGAGCCAGTGCTCTTTAGCAGTCGCTGTAACACACTCATATCCTCTGCAGATCGGGCATGGAGCGGGACCTGTACCACACTCAGCAATGGGTTACACACTTATGCAGCACTTTGGATTTTCTAAGTGCTCCATGCACATTCATTACTTAACCCTCCAAGTTCCCCGGTGAAAGAGGTCAGTGTTGTGGAGGTGGAAATGGGGCAGGGAAGTGAAATGACTTGCCCACAGCCCCAGAGTAAGAGCCAGGCTCAGAACTCAGTAATTCCTAGCTCCAAGTCCTGTGCACCATCTCCTGAACAACGCTGCCTCTGTTCAGTGTGGTACATGGGGCTGTAGCTAAGAATAATGGGATGGAATTAAGAAAAAGTAAATTTAAGAAGAACAACAGGAAACATTTCCAACGGTGAGATCTGAGAGACACTGGCCTGGTCTCCCCTAGGAAGCAGGGGAAGTCTCATGGCTTGGCAGTTGAAACTCAACTGGAGAAAGCACTAGAAAATGTGTTGTAGTGAACAATCCTGGCCTCGCAGGGGCAGACTAGATAACCTATTGGAATAGGTCGTTTCCATCTTTTATGCCTGCAAGCACCAGTGCACTTTATTTAAGTTTGACAAATTGGCTTATTAAGACCCTGACAAACACCATGATCAGCTACTGGCAAACACTACTATGTCTTTGACAAACTATGCTTTATATGACTGCTTTGAGTTAAGAGCGGCCAATGCAAATTTATTGTAAATACTCTAGGAGGAGAGCAAGGCACCATATAGCTAGGTAAGATGGAACCCCCAAATCCTATTTGCTATAGACTAAATGATTATTACTACTTATTTGTATTGTGCCTAGTAGCTCTAGTCATGAACCAAGACGTCATTGTACTAGGGGCTATATAAACAGAACCAAAAGATGGTCCCTTGCCATGTTTTATAAATTACTGAGCCTGATCCCAAAAATCTTCATTCACATGATTCTTTATTACACACACCTTTTTGAATAAAAGGTTGCCGAGTCAGGCCCCTATCACTCCAGGTAACTCTGCGCCTGCTACAAGGAAAGCATGGTGTTCGTGCTGGTTTGCTGTTCATCCCAGTGAGGTTTATAGGCCTGGGATTAGAGGACAGGGTGCATTTTTATCTGGAGGTGGGAGGCAACTTTACAATCAAGACAGTGAATATCTCCTGTAAATTAGGCTTCTTGCTGGAAGAGATATTTTATTGCTGTGATCCCATTAATGCTGACATTAAACGTCTCTATTTTTGGAAATCTTTTTCCTGGATCCAGATTGAGTAAAGCACTATGGGGCTTGTTGAGAAGCTAAAATGTAAAAAGAGAAACAGCTTGGTCATGCTGTATGGAGAAATTATATGGTTTTGCTTTGCCTATTTTCCCTGCAGGTTGCAGCTAATTTCTCAGCTATGGGCTGACGTCAATGCTGCCAACCAGCACTGAGGGGCACATTGGTCACTGTCAGCTGCAAAGAGCTCTGTGGTGCAGTGCACACACAAAGCTGGGCCATTTCTTATCACACCACGTACAGTAACTCACATTCACTGTCCTCTTAAAAGGTAATAATCCCAGCTCAGATGCCACATTCTTTTATGCTCAAATTCTTCCCCAAAGGTTTCTTTCCACTGAAAAAGAGAAGTGGAAATAACTATAGACATTGGGACAAACATTCAGAGGCCTCTGGCACAAGTAACTGCAGCAGCAATTAATGTCACTTGAACGAATCAGGATTCAGTGCTCCCAAAAATGGATTCTGAAGGTGTCCAAGTGAAGAACAGTTAATTGCCCTACAATAACTGAGATTCTTTGAGATGCTGTAGGCAGTGTGGATCCTACTGTAGGAACACAAGCACCTCATGCACATGACACCAGATTTTTCTTGATTAGCAGTATCCATCAGGGCCATCCATGCTGCCCGTGCCTCCCTGTGCTCTTGCCATAAAGGGCCGGGGGCTGCTGCACTCCTCCCACAGTTCAAACCCGATGTGGCGGAGGACTCTGAAAAGCAGGAATGGAGGGCTGGTTGTGGGATGCAAACGGACTACACCATCTCAAAGAACAGTCAGTGAAAAGTATTTTTCTTCTTCAAGTATTTGTCAGTGTGGATCCCACTGTAGGTGACAGGCAAGCAGTATCCCCCCCGAAGTTCAGCTGCATCAGTCAAACAGAGATTAAAGTACTGCTGTCCTGAACGTGGTCTCTGATTTGGCTGCCAGGTCAAATACATATGTCACGGAGTGTGGGGGGACACAAGGCCCTGCACCCCCGGCTTCCTGCGATTCACCATGACTCTCAGCCAGCCAGTAAAGCAGAAGGTTTATTCAGACGACAGGAACACAGTCCAAGACAGGTCTTGCAGGCACAGACAACAGGACCCCCCCCAGTTAGGTCCATCTTGGGGTTCCAGGGGCACCACAGCCCCACTGGGGGGGAAGAGCCCGTCTGGGCTCCCTCCATTACCAGCCAGTTCCTGAAACTCTCTCTCTCCCCAGCGTCTCCTCCCCCAGCCTTTGTTCAGTTTCCCCGGGCAAAGGTGTCACCTGACCTCTAACCCCTTCCTGGGTTCTCATGTTACATGCTCAGGTATTCTCCCTCAAGGCCAGTCTCCCATCCCTCAATGCAGACCATCCTAGCCACACTCCCCTGCCTTCCCAGCTAACACTCCCCACTCAGCATTCGAAGACCACATTAAGAACAGTCCCAGTTTGTCACAACATATGCTTAACAAAAGTTAGCAGGTGATGCTGCATTGCTGCCTTGTAGATTTGTGAGATCAGCATGTTTCTGAAGTGGGTGGAAGATGGTGCCTGTGCCCTGGTGGAAAGTGCCTTGACGTTCAGAGGGAGAGGCTCGCTAGCCAGCTGATAGCAGGTGGAAATACACTGCATGATCCACTTCAAGGATTCTCTGTGACAAGACAACCTTTCAAGGCACCAGATATAGACGAGAAGAGGTGGGGAGAGAACCCAAAACATTTAGTCCTGCTGAGGTAATATAGAAAGGCTCTGGAGACATATAGAATATGGAGCTTCTTTTCTCCTGGCATTGAGTGCAGTTTCAAGAAGATGACTGATAGGGTAATGGATTGGTTCAGGTGAAATTCCAACTCCACCTTAGGGATGACTTTGGGGTACAGTTTCACCTCCATCTTGTCCCTTTGGAAGGATGTGTAAAACAATCCGGACATAAAAACTTGGAACTTGCTGACTGTCCATGCTGATGTAATGGCCATGAGAATATCTGTCTTGATGGTAAGGTGGTATTGTGATGCTGGCAGACCAGGTGCCAGCTCATGCCAAGGCCCCTAGGCCTCAACTGACCACTGACAAATGCATAGCTGGAAACCAGTCTGGCTCACCTGTGTGTTAGTATTGTTAAACTAGGTATTGGGTTTATAAAAATGTATTTAGTGTTTTGGACTTTATGAAATGCTTTATGAGTTGCTGCGTGCATTAATCTCACTTATCGTATCTGTATCACATTATATGGTAATATTTAAGTGTTCACTCAAACTATAAACCACAGGAGAGAAGCATTAACAAATATGAAATACTGGTTTGCCACAGGTGTATCCTCCTGCCCAACAAAAGAAGACCCATAGACCCCAGACAAACCATTGTAGAACATCAGAGGAGAAAAGACTTTGTTGATTGCACCCCTCCACACCAATGAAGAGGAGACGTGCAGGTGGACTCGTCCCATCAGCTTGAACTCTGGGGGGGAGGGAATAAAAATCCCTGACAAGAAGAAACTATCTTTATGCTGCTTGGTCTCTGAGGGGCAAGGATTACAAAGCATAAGCAAAAGCTCTGCAGTGCTTGGCCAGAGTAGCCCTAAAGGACATATAAAGCTTACTTATTAGAGAAGCTTCTATCAGCTTTTGGAACCTAAGACTTGTGTGTATATGTTTACCTCCTTTAACTTTGTAAATAACTCTTATTTCCTTTAGTTAGTTTATTATAGGAATGGCTACAAGCGTTGTCTTTGTAAGATCTAAAGTATAATTGACCTGGGAAAGTGACTGGTCCTTTGGGACTGGGAGTAACTGCAATATTATGGTGATTTTTGGTGTAAGAGACCATCTATCACAAAGTTAAGCTTTTAGGTTATGCAAGACAAACTGGATTACCCAAGGTGACTATA